GTGTTGGCAGACAGGGAAGCTTGAACCTTGGGGTTGTTGAAGTGAATAACTGTTCCATCATCTTTTATCATGTTCACCTGTTTAAATATAGTAATAACATTTACCAAAGTGTTGCAGCATCTTGTTGAATGAGCGCGATCATTAAAATCCAGATTTAAAGTATTAAAGCATAAAAAATTACAAAGCTACTACTCCTCTTAGAGAATAACATAACCATGACAAAAGCACCTGGAATTAATACCACCTGGAAGTAAATATGAGTTAATGTTAAAATATGGGCTCATACATACTATATGATAAGGCAGAATTTAACAGCTACGGTTCCTTCATAAAATGAACTTACCTGAATACTAATAAATATATAAGGAGTATATGTTGCAATGCAGTTCACGTGTATTTTTAACAAAAGCAAAAAACCATACATAGATTATTAGACTGCAAGGTATAAACATGCTAATGTGAAGAACGTCTGGGGAGGGAAACCCCCTCAACAAACCAGCCAAACTCTTCAGCTCTGTGGTGACTCTTCACAGGCTCAAAACTCCAACAGCAAAGCCCAGCCACACCAGTTCAAGCCACTGCCTTTCACAGGTACCTGTGACACCTATCAGGAAATCCCAGTAATTCCATGATGACTCTTTTAAGGCTAAGGACATCATACAGTGATCCTGCTCTCTTCCTCTTTCCTGGTCCTCTGAATCATCAAGAATTAAGATTTATGGCCAGTGTAGTGCCCTGCTTTGCACCTTCTGTCAGTTTATGCTGGCATATTTGTATGGGTTTATGTGATTTTAACTTAATGGGAGACAGCATGGACAGTTAAAAAGGTTTTTCTTCTAGGCATGGCTAAACTACGGTTATTTGGAAAATAATTTTGTCTGACCAAAGGAGGAAAGTGCTATCCATCCAACACAACAATGGCATTAAACTCATGTGACAAAATTAATAAGCAAGGTTTCTAGCAGAAATTACAGGGAGAAATAAGAGATTTAAAATATAAAAACATCCAAGTTCTCAATCCTCACACAGCAGAAGAGGTTCAAACTATGTTTTGAACAGGAAAACCAGGTGTGTTGCTTTCCTGCAAAACTAAACAATGTCCTGTCCTTTGCACATAAGGAAATGGTAAAGGCTTCAAGCACAGTCATCCTGTTACTTAAAAACCTCTTTTAAAGCCACACAGATGAGTAACTCATGCTTGACTCAACATTGCTACCCTCTCCAAACTCTTTTACACAAAGCTTACCAAGGTCAACTTGTGTTCACCTGAATGCAACACACTGCAATTCTGTCTCTAGCTATCAAGGCAGAAACATTTTGCATTATCTTCACATCAAGATATTTAAAATTCTTAATAACTGTGTCTGAGTGAAGATCCTGTGCTTTGTGTGAAAAAGGAAACTGAAACACATACCCAGAACTGTGTCCTTCTTTGGGTTCACACAACTCGGGATATACATACTGAGCTTAAGAAAACAGGGAAATAAAAGTGTTTATGCAAGAGAGGACTGAAAATCTACAGGCAAACTGGGCTGCTACAGCAAAATCTGCATTCGCCTTTGGAAGAGAGAATGCACTATGTGACCTCTGTAGGCACCTTGCAATCCTGCTTAAATTAATTAATCACAGATTAAATACTGCGCTTCTTTAACCAAGCACTACAGTAATACTGAGTTCGTGAGGGAGGAACACCTCCTCCTCCCATGTATGAGTGTCACTCCCTACAGTGTTATGGAAAACATGTTTCATTCATACCTGTCAATTAGAGGTATTCAAGGAACATCTGAAACCCTCACGTTCCCACTTACATTAGCACAGAAGCTGCTTCTGTAGGGTCTCTGCAGTGTTCTAAGAAACATCATCTCCAGTAACTACTGCAAACAATTCCAGCAACTTTTGTAAAGTAGTAAAGGATCCTAATTTTAATAATATGGACTCAAGTTCTTACTCTAGGTATTTCTAAACTTTTCTTTATATTCTGCACCACACAACTCTTGCCCTGGATGTGCCTGTACAGAACACGTGTACTTACTGCTCTTTTGAGTAGGTAATCAGGTTCATAAAAGGCAAGAACAAAGAGAAGTTTTGTTCTGTGATGACTGCAAGACACACACACAACACACAGCTTACTACCTCCTGTAACCACTATGTGGCCAGCAGAACCTTCTCCCTTCTTTCTCCAGGTACATACACACATTTAATTTCACCGAGACAACAATCAATCAAATAACTTTGTCTATCAATAAACAGATCTGTTAAGTTTTTGCTTGGAAGCCTGTGGTAAAAACAAAAGCAAAAACCACCACATCACCCCCAAAACAATACAGTGAATTTAATTTCAAACAGGAAACACTTATCACTATACCTCTTCAATGCCAGCAATGTTATTTACTGCCAGTTTTTTGAGGGAACTCTGAAGTTTTTTGTCATCAGCTGTAGCTGTTCTGTGCACCACCTTCTTCTTTCTGCGAGCTGTTCCCTGGGAAACAATCAAGAGACAACAGTCAGCTATGCTCAAAATTTCTCAACACTAATTGTGAAAGTCCTATCACGGTCTGAGCAACATCTTCCAAGTTATGAGACGCCTCTATAGTCCTATTTCCCTTTACCTACAGCTTTAGCCATCAGTCTCAATTTTAAGGTTTTTCTTAAATGTAAAGGACCAAAAGACACCAAATAGCAGCATTTTCCCTTCCTACAAGCCAGATTACGAAAATACTATTTACTACTAAGCAAAATATAAGAAATTTTCCCCAAGAACTCCATTTTTTCCAGGACGAAGCACAAATACAGTGATTTAACAGCAATTTTTGAATTTCTACTTTGCAAACTTTTGTGGAAGTTTGGCAGGGTATGAGCCCCTGCACTGAACAAACTCCATGCCTTTTTTTTTTGGTCAGATTAACTACCTGCTGGCTCAGAGAAAAACAAAGCTTGGTGCAGAGTTAGCGCCTGGAGTGGACATTGAAAATCCCCAACAGGAAGAAGGGAAAGGCAGAACTGGAACACCCAACAGGTGAGCTCAGCTGGAGCTTCCACAGGTCACAACAAGTCACTGAATTAACAGTACTCTTACACCCTGGAAACTGCTAATCCAGCAGTTGGGAACTGAAAGAAACTTGCATTTCAGGTAGAAGCACCATGATGCAGATCACACAAAAACCATATCTGTCAAGTCTCAGAAATATATTTTTTCCCCTTCTGTGAACTATAGCCTATGTTTTGAAAAGCATCTCTGGTGGGTTTCTTACCTTTCCTCCTATTCGGACCTGTGCTTGAAGCTTGGCCAGTTTTTCTTGGTTCATAGTGATGTGTCTGAAAAATAACAAGAAGGTACAAAACCCCAGTTAACAATCAAAACATTAAGAAAAAAAAAAAGTCACAGTCCATTTTCAAAGCACTCCTAAGATTGCGGTGGGTTTTTGAAACTTACAGAACACCACCCAAAACACTGCGTCCAACAAAAACACACAAACAAAGCTTTAAAACCTAAATAATCTGAAGTGGTCCTGTAGAAGGCCATTTAGCTGAAGTGCCTGTGACACAATAAAGCAAATCAACAAGACACTTCATTCCGCATCAGTAAATTCCCATTGTGCCAATTTACTTTTGGAAGCACTGAATTGAACTCAAACCAGACCCAAACCAGCACAACTGCTTCTGGGAAACACCCTTGTTTTTAAGAGGGCCCAGGGAGAGATTCATCACTAAACTACTTCGAATACTATTTCCATATAATGAATCTGTGATACTTGTAACTAATAAGTGAGTTCTGAACCGCGTGAGTTCAGATCTGGACGGATTTCCCATAGGAACCTCTGGAAGCCCTGCATCCCATTCAATGACTGGGAAGTCAGTCCAGTGGCTTCTTCCACGGGCCAAGCGGGACCTTTAAAGACTGAAAACCCTGAAAAAAACCCGTAATGGGTGGGAAAACATCTCCCGCCCTCCAGCACAAGGAACGCGTTCCGCTGCTGTGCCCCAGCAAGTGATCAGAGATCCCGGGAACGACGGGGAAGCCCCCTCCGCGTGTGCTTTGTGCCGGAGAGAGGGATCAGCATCGGCGGGAGAAGAGGCTCGGGCGGCTCGCCAGGCACCCCCTAAGCACGGGGAGCGAGAGGGGCTCAAGGCTGATCCCTCAGGAGCCTGTATGGCCGCGGCCCCCCGAGCCGGGGCAGCCCCCGCACATCGTCCCGCCGCAGGGCCTCGCTCCCTCGGCGTCTCCTCGGGGAACGGCCCAGCGCGGCAGGCGGGGACGGGACCGAGTCCCCCGCCCCAGGCCACCGGGGGCACGGTAAGGGCGGGCCGCCGGGACGCGGGAGCAGCAAGACCCCTCACCTGAGCGCGGCGGAGCCCCCGCGGCCAACACGCGGCGAGAACAAGATGGCGGCCGGGAAAGGAAAGAGAGGCGCACAGAGAAAGGAAGCTCCCCTCCACGTGACGGCGCCGGCCCGCCCCCCAATTGGCGGACCCGCCCAATCTCATTTGCATAGGGGCGGGAGAGGGGGCGCGCAGGACCTCCTGGGAGTTGTAGTCTCTGGGGGGGGGGAACAGACACCTGGTGCCCCGGGGCAGGGAATGGCGGCCTGGGGTAATAACCAGTGTCCTGGGGCAGGGAGCGGTGTCCTGCTGTAGTCTCGGGTGCCCCCGGTCAGGGAGCGATGGCTGGTGACCCAAACCCGGGGCGCGGTGGCTCCAAAGGCGTCACCACGTGCTCCGCTCTCTCCCTTAGCGAACCCTCCTTCACGCACGGCGCTCTGCGGTCGGTTTTGCCTTCCCGACAGCTGGGCAATTCCGGAGAGCAGCGCGACAAAAGCGTTTATTTTGGAAAGGAGAAAATAAACCCGGATCCCCATATACACACACACCCTTCCTGCTGCCTGCTCCCGACGGGATAACCCTGGGCTTGTCCAGGGGCAGTAACCCAGGTGACTCGGACCCCACCGCGGTGCCACCCCCCGCACCCCCGAGCCGAGCGGCGAAAGCTGCGCACCGCCCACATCCGCCTCACATCACTTCCTGGGCTTTAAAAAAAACGGGGATTAAAAAAAAAAAAAAAGAGGAAAGAAAAAAAAAAATCCGCCTGAGCGGGTCCTGTGCTGTGCGGAGCTGTGGGGCTGTACCCGGTGCCGCCGCTGCCCGCGCCGACACCATGAAGGCTCAGCCCGTGGCCGTCTCCGTCCTCTGCCTGTGCCTGGTGCTGGCGGCCTCCGCCGCCTCCGCCGAGGGAGGGCTCGGAAAGGGTCAGGAAAACGCTTCCTTCGGGCTTTTCTCAACTCGTGCCGCGGGCGCGGGTCCGGTCCCTCAGCCCGCGGCGTCGGGGGGCGGGGAGACAGACCGGGGGTCTGGGGGCTGGAGGTGAGGGGGGTTTGCACCGTGCCCGCCGTCGTGGTTCTGTCCCGGCTGAGCGTCCTTTCGAGGGGCTCCGCGGAGCCCTGCGGGACAGCCCTCGATGCCCGCTGTGCCCGCCCAGCCCCCGCCGGCTCCTGGCAGGCAATGAATGGCGCTTCCCTCCTCCCTCGGCTTCCCTTGCCCTCGATGACCGCTCCTCACTCCTCTCTTGGCTCACCGAGGCTCCTTGACTAATTACCGTGTCTAATAGCCGGGTTTAGCCAGCGCCTGAGCTTCACCCCAGGTGGTGGCTTTGCCTTAGCGGCAAATCTCCTCCTCAGGACCGGTAGTAACCAATTCGATCAATGACAGCAAAGCTCTGTGGTGTGGATCCCAGCCAGCCATCCTCCTTTAATTCCCCAGATGACTTTCATTCAAAAGAAACACTCCGTAGTGTGTTGTGTAATTGTTTTAAAAACATACTGAAGCTTGCCACAAATGGGATTTTGGTTTAAGTATAGAAAAACTTTCAAAAAGTGTTTCCCAGCTAGAACAATAAAAGGCTTTCCCTATTTTAACATTTTGGCCTTTGACTGAAATAGCTGACGTGTCAATATGCTGGATAAACATGACTTCTGCTAATCCAGCTGGCTTTTGCTTGGGTACGTTGAGCTTGTCCAAAAGTAGCCCTGTGTCCAAAGCTGCCTGAGCAGCTGGGGTGTGATTGGACGTGGACAGGGCATCCCCACCTCACTGCGAGCTCATCTGTTTGATGTGTTGCATCATATGTGTTCACAGAGGTTCATATCAGGAGAGATGATCAGGTAATACGCTGTGCCAACTGTCCACACCTCCCGGATACTGAATTAAGGTGCCACTAGGATTTGCTGACTCTGTTTTAGGCTTTCTCCAGCTTCTTTGCCGTAGTTGTCTACAATGTCCACTTTTCCCCGTGTCAGCACTGGGCAGTCTGGGGCTCTGACCTCTGTGTAGCTCCCGAAATCTGCTCCCCTCAGCACCCTGGGGGCTGCTGACTAATCCAAACCCTCAGCGATGGGAAGGGGCAAGCCGAGGCTGATGTTTGATCATCCAGTGCACTAATTGTTAATTACTGGAGCCATAAGACCTCTGAGGAGGTCTTCCAAGGGTGTTCCTCTTCGAACAGTTCCCGGATCTCCTTCATCTCAGCTCTCCAGGTGGCTTTTGGCCATGTGCTTTGTTGGCTACTAGAAAATGCCAACCCTGGCAGTCCCTGCTTTGCAGCTGGTAAACATACACTGACTCACTCTTGTGTCAATTGACACAACAAGACTTGTTATCTGGATATGGGATAAAATATTTCCTGTGCCGTTCAGTCACTCTAACATTCAGAAATCTGTGTAGTGGTGTTCTTTCTTACTTTTCAATTATCATCAGCAGTAATAATTAGCATAATAGTTTTAGAGCAATTAATGATCATATGTTGGCCTAGGAATTTTTAAGTTTTGCTTTAGTTCACATTCAGTGGGATTTAGGAAGCCAAATGCTGACATGTTTCATTTGTCACTCATCAGTTAATAAATGTTCATAGATTGAAGAAGAATGGAGAATAATTAGGAGGCCCTTCAATTTTAATATCCATTTGGGGGATTTTGAGGTCGTTTGCATATAGATATAAATATTCATTAGGATGGTATGTTTTTGTTAATTAATTTCAGTGGGATTCCTCATACGACTATGTGGGTTGTAAGTATTTGCAGAAGTCTTCCCAGAACTGGGATTGTAGTTGGCTTTAAAAGAAGAATATAAAATAAGTTGAAAATACTCTTGAGGGTTGGACTGTTTTCCTCTGTTAGCTGACACACTAAATTATGCAGCATTTATAAACCCTTCTCTCTGGCAGGTTTTGGAGATCATATTCATTGGAGAACACTAGAAGATGGGAAGAAAGAGGCAGCAGCCAGGTATGTTTGCTAGTTTTAATTACAGAAAAGTGTCTTTAAAAGCATTCACAAAGGTTCTGTATCAATCCTAAATTTAACCACAGAAGAGTCATTATTAACAAAAATGAGGATGGTTTAGGAGACTTCAGATCCCTACAGCTTATTAGAGAGAAAATACAGAGTTTTGATATCTTTGTTGAGGCACCACCTAGGTTTAATCACTGCAGTCTAATTAAATCATTGAAGCCCTAGCATGTCTTTGAAATGAGAAGAAAATAACTATTTACCACGGTAAAGAAAGGTATGATTCTCAAACCCACAAATGAATGTGTAAAGAGTGCTCAATCCCCTTGAACTCAGCAGTGCTGAGAGCTTCCCTAAAATTCCTTATGCCTGTATAGATGAGGCCTCAGCCTAAGATGAGTTATTTTGTTCCAATCTGCAGGAAAAAGTCTGGAAGTTTTAAACTAGTGAACTGATAGAACCTGATTTGGTTAAGTTTAAACTCTAAAAATAACAGTTTCTTAGAAGGTAAAAAATTATATTTTGACACGTTATTTTTCTCTGAATTTCTTCTGTTTCTTGTTAAAATGTGAGAAAGGAAATTATATGCTTATAAATTCTACTTGTATTTTAAATTTATAACCTAAATCTGACAATGCTGACATGAGCAGAAATTCCTCATGCCTTCCAGGTTTGCTGTTTGAGTTCAGCTCTCAAACTGATCCATCATTTTAGTGTAGATACCAAATTAACCCAGACGATACAGTTCAGAGGTCTTACAAGTTTCTATAAGTGGATATTTTTGAAAAAAAAATATTATTTCAGTATTTACAGGTGTAATTGTAGCACTACTTTGCAATGAAGCAGAGGAAGCTTCAAAATGAGGCAGGGGAGGGCGGGAGGCATGGTGAGCTGTGAGCTCTCAGGTTTAGGCAGGATGAGCATTCCTGCTCAAGGAGACTGCAGGAAGGGGTCGGTGTAATCCACACCCTCTCCTTTCACTATTGGAAGCACAGACGCTTTCACTGATTTGAGTTCAGCAGCATTTGAGCATTACTGAAGGACTGGGAGAAACCACTAATAACAAAGAAAATATAAACCTAAAAAGTAGATTTGCTTTCCTAAGTCTGACCTTAGGTCAGGAGGAGATGAAAAATAATACGAAAATTATAAGAAATTAACTGTGACACATCAAGTCAGATCCAGCAGAGCCAGTGAGCTGGGAAGTTTCAAGACTTCAATTTGAATTTTATAAACTGCGCAGCGTGGATGTGTCGGGGGATGCCGGAGACGTCTCGTTTTTAAGTTCCGTGCGGACGAGGGCAGGGATCAAGCGTTCCTACAGTTAGTACGGTCGCGTTTCTAAGCCGCACGTCTGGCAGGACGGTGCCCCGGTGCCAGAGGCGGGGGCCCGGCGGTTCCGCAGGCCCGAAGGGGCAGAGGAGCCCGCACTGCGGTGCCGCCGCCCGGGGCCTGGGGGTGCTGCCGGTCTCGGGCGGGCCGTGTGTGGGTGCGTGTGACCGGCGGAAGCAGTTCCCGCCCGTCCGGGTCGGTGCCGGCGCGGCGATGCCGCTGGTGGTGCTGTGCGGGCGGCCCGGCAGCGGCAAGAGCCGGCGGGCGGCGGAGCTGCGGGCGGCGCTGGGCGGCCCCGAGCGGGCCGCGCACGTCGTGTCCGAGGCGGAGGGCGGGCGGGCGGCGCTGCGGGCCGAGGTGGAGCGGCGGCTGAGCCGGCGGGACGTGGTGATCGTGGACGCGGGCAACGAGCTGCGGAGCATCCGCTACGAGCTGTACTGCGCGGCGCGGCAGGCGGGCACGGCGCGCTGCCTCTTGCACTGCGCCGGCGGCGGGGGCGGCCCCGACGAGCCGCCCTTCGAGGAGCCCGACCCGGGCTGCCGCTGGGACCGGCCGCTGTTCACGGTGAGCGGGGAGGAGCCGCTGCCGCTGGGCGACATCCGCGCCGCGCTGTTCGAGAGCGCCCCGCCGCCCCCGCACCGCGCCACCCGCACCCAGCCCCTGCAGTCCGGGGAGTTCCTGCACCGCCTGGACCGCGTCACCCAGGACGTGCTGGCCGCGGTGATGGCCGCGCAGAGCGGCGGGGCGCTGCCTGGCGACACGGTCCGCGTCCCCGGCCTGGCCGAGGGGCTGGTGCTGAGCCGGCCCGTGAGCCTGGCCGAGCTGAGCCGGCTGCGCAGGCAGTTCATCAGCTACACCAAGATGCAGCCCAGCGATGAGAACATGCCCCAGCTGGCCAGCATGTTCCTGCAGTACCTGAGTCGCAGCATCCAGTGAACCAGTGGCAGTGGCCGTGGTTGTTGAACTACTTGCGACAGTAAGAACACGCCTTCCAGACGCAGACCCTGCAGAGCCTGGATCCCACCTGTTGCGTATGGGGTATTTGGCAGCAGCAGCTCTGGGTGCCGTGTTCCTGCAGCAGCCAAGCAGACTGTTTCTGAGAGAATCTGTAGGGATGCAGTTCCCCATACCCCCGAATTCTCCCCGTCAAAAAGGAGATCAACTGTTGCATCTCCAAGCAAGTGAAGTCTCCTGCGGAGACATAAACCCCAGTAATATAGTAGTGTCTGAACATGAAAGTGCAAAAGGTGATGACTGTAAGTCTTGAATAAGAAGATTGTTTTTCCAGGGCTACCTCCAGATAATGTCAAACTGCAGAAGAGACTTCAGGTCCAGAACTAGAACAGGATGTGTTTTAGGATGTGACTGTTTCAAAATATCTGACTGAACCCAAGAGACATTTGCAGCTCTGCTCTGCAAAAGGGTGCTGCCTTAGCAAACTCAAAGATGTTTAACAATAAAATATGTGCCTTAAATGGACTAAACTCTTAATTTATCTGCAGGACTATTTTATTGAAATAACTTGCCATGTCTTTTCTCTGCAAGGTCATCATTAAACACCTTTAAAAACACTAATTGCTTAAGAATGAGTTCTCTCATAGGAAAAAGACCTAAAATGACAGTGTCTGTTCTTGTTGAAACCTGTAGGGCTGTACCAGCTGGGATGGGTAGCTTAGTTTTGCATTTAGTTTCCAATAATTTGGGATTTGCGATACAATAGGTACAGTTCAGATAAACTTCTCACTTTCTGGTGGATGCTTCATGCCTCATTCTCATAAATTGTCGTTTTGGTTTAATTGTATGTGTAGTGCTCCCTGGGAGGAAATAGTACAGTCTGACACACCGACTGCTGGGGGATTTATGCATTACAGAACTGAGAATTGACTGCAAAAATGTTTTGATGTAAATAAGTTTACCTTACCAGTCAAAGTAAAGAGAATAAAAGCTGAGAAAACACATTCATTATTTCAAACCTCTGTGAGTTCTCACTAAGAATTGGTATTTCAAGGCTGTGAGCACTTAAATTTAAAATCTGCTTTGAAAATTTCTCTTTAAAAAAAAGTGTGTTGCAGTACCGATTGCCAGATGATTGAACTCTTTTGACATGAACCACTGGTCCTTGATAAGAACAATGTGTATTTTCCAGACGTAAATCAGCCTGTCCTCAAGAAAGAGGCAAAACAATTTGGGACTCTGTAGAAACAATGAAGAAAAAAGTGATTTTTCATCCTCAGGGACACTGGATGCAATGCAAGCTCTACTAGGGCAATGTGTATTCATACTCCTTACTGCAAACAGAGCCCAATGTGAAGGTGATGACATATTGGTTAATTATAGAGCGCAAACTTCTTTTTGAATGACTCTAAATGTTAATGCCTTCCTCTCTACCCTTTTCTGTTTCTAAAGATCATAACTGAATGCTGCTAAGTAGAGATTGCCTTTCATGTCTGTTTACAGCTGAAGGGTTACTGGGTTCAATGGTTGCTCAGTGGGGTCTTGATCAGAGGAGGTGACTGAAATGTGGGCTGTAATGGGGAGGAGGATGGGTAGGTGACTGTCATCCACTGGGTTGCCATAAGCAGCCACAAAAATCCATCCCAAGATCTCTCAAGCAGCTGGTGTCACTAGCCATTTCCAGTAATCCAGTAAAAAAATGCATGACCAGCTGTGTGTCTGAGGAATCTAAACTAATAAGAGCAAGTCTTCCAAAGACAAAGTCTTCTCTATGTGAGCAGTAACAATTAAGTATTTTATTACATGTTTTAAGATTGGGAAAACTTTTTGCAAGCCAACCTTAGAACACAGCAGAATCTCTTTACATCTCACTTATTTTCTGTTACATTGAGCCTTTGAGGAAGCCCTGACTGTTAAAATGTACATGTAACAGAATTTGATTTAGAGGCTTTCTGGAAGCTTTCTTTGACAGGTTTTTGTCTTCCTTTTTTTAGTGGTTTGCCTCTTATGGTTATCATCCACAAGTCCTGGTGTGGAGCTTGCAAAGGTAAGTGTATTTAATACTAGAGCTTGCTGAAATTTCTAGTGAATCTTTGTATGCAAATCACGTAGCCATGAGAAACATGAGCTTTGCATTCAGACTGTAGCTAATGGTAACTGTATTTCATTAGGAGAGGCATAATATGGCACTGGCATTGCAAACAAACAAGCTAGGGATCATGGCTAAGCTTAAAGGATGAGGCAGTTGAGTGGGAATACTGGTTTATAGCAGGCTTTCTGCTCTGTTCCATTGGTTCATATACAGACATGTATGTTTGTTGTTAGGCTTCATCCCATGGCTGCCTAGCAGGAATTGCTTCAGTCACCTGCTGCTCTTAGCCCAGCTTTGAATAGTTTGATACATACATTCCATTTACTCACTGCTTATTGAAAAGCTTTCCAGAGGGAGGGATGAAGTGGAGATTTTGATACTGCTTGAAAATCTGAAATATTTTCCACTGTTTTTACATACCTCTTTATTTTTATTTCCTCCCCCTTAATTAGCTTTAAAGCCAAAGTTTGCTGAATCCAAGGAGATCTCTGAACTTGCCCATAATTTTGTTATGGTCAACCTTGAGGTAGGCTGCCTTCTGATCTGTGTCCATGTTACTGCCTGGTAATTAAGCATTTGGAATCCGACTTTACTGGTTACATCCTGTTCGGTGTACATCCTAAATCCTGCACTCCTGAATAGGCATTCAGGATTGATTGATACAGCTCATTGTTTTAAAAAGAGTTTTCTTTAGTCTGGTTATTTTAATTCTGTTTATAAACCTGGCTCTCTTTAACACTTTGTGCCTTGTGTGATTCTGTTGCTGCAATAAAGGAATTTATGTTTATTCTCTCATTACCTATCAAACATTCCTACAACAAAATGGAGTGTGTAATGCAAATTAACAGGACAAAAAAAATATTATTATTTTCACAGAGGATATTGTTTAGGTAAAAATAACTTACTTTCATTGAGAGTGGAAGATCCTGCAGTTACTTGGCGTCTGTTCAAGATGTAAATTGCTCAGGGTAACAGGAATCTGAAGGCAATAACTTGTTTCTTTAAAAAGCAGTATTGTGTTTTGTTAGGTATCTTGCTAATACATTCCTCCTCTTCTGTCTTGCTTTGGTAGGATGACGAAGAGCCCAAGGATGAAGCCTTTAGTCCTGATGGAAGTTATATCCCCAGAATCCTTTTCATGGGTAAGGCATCCGCAGCTCTTGTGTCCACTCACGGGACTGGGTTCTTATTGTTACCACCTAAACTTCCTGATGGATTTCTTGTTTCATAGATCCCAGTGGAAAAGTCCATCCAGAAATCATAAATGAGAGAGGAAACCCCAGCTACAAGTATTTCTATACCAATGCTGATCAAGGTATGTGCAAAGTAGTTGAAACTGCATTTTTAGTGAGGACACACCTTCACTGTTTAGTGGAGAAAAATGATGATACTTTACAGCATAGCTGGGAGCTGTTAGGTACAGTGTGAGTGAGTGGTTCTCCAACACCTGAGGAACCATATTCAGAATCGTAATTCACCTTAAGACATACTGTTATCTGTAGGACCTAAACTTTGTCTCCAGTTGTGGCATGGAAAATTGTGGAATTTGCATGATCCAGCTACACATAGGTGAGGAAATGGTGCAGGACTGGAGGGTTTTTTTTGTTTGGTTGTTGGTTTTTTTTCCCCCACAGGTTAATTTGTAGATATACATTCTATAACTGTTGTTTTAAAATAACCTTCATTACCAGTCCACCTTGATGTTTGCATCAGGAGATTAATAGTTGGTATCTCTCTTGTCTAATCTTTCAGTTGTCCAAGGGATGAAGGAGGCCCAGGAGAAGCTGACAGGTGATGCTTTCAAACAAAAGCACCTGGGAGATGAACTATAATGGATACGCTAAATGATGATTTTTCACTGCTTCAAAACTCTAAAAGGAAACGATTGAACAGACTGAGAATGTAGTTGCACTGAAGGGACATAATTCTCCTGTCAACAATGTTAGGGTAAACCCTGTTTGGAGTTCACACACATGCATCAGTCACAGTGTTTTCTCCTCCTGCCTGGAAGTTTGCACTGTGATGATTATTTGCAACTAGGTAACGTGCAAACACATCCCGTTGTGTGTTTGAGCAACCACTAATATTTGGTGTTAAAAGGGAGGTGTGTAGGGAAGAATATTATTTGAGGACAAACAGTGTGATTAAAAAACCTAGTAGCAGCCAACCTTTTGACACCTAATCAGGGTTGAATTCTTCTTTTCTCACTGGTATTATGTGATCCCATTGTTTTTACTGGGCATTGCCATCAATGGGGCATCTTCCTAGGCCAGGTATTTTCTAGATATTCCAAAACACGAATTCTGCCAGTAAACCCAGTAGAATACATTTCATGAATGTCCAAGTAGCATGTGAAATTATCAGCTCTGCAAATGTATTTTTGTGTAAAACTGTGTGATTCACTTTTATTTGCCTTTGGGCAGAAAATTAACTTTTTCCTTATGCACTCACCTTTTGATTGTTCCATCAAGTGAGGGTGGGTTATGTTGAAGCTTTACGGGGTTTCCCCTTTTATTCTTTGAATGTTTTTTGGCGAATGCCTTGCCATCACATTGTACTGTATTTTTGTACCAGGGTGAAAAAAAAAATAAACCTTTTTAAACATAAGCATGCAGAGAGTGTTTTGTGGTAAAGGGCATAACTTTCTGTTCTTAAGCAGTGGGGGATATATTTTTGTTTATGTTGCAGTGGTTATTAATGTTGAATGTCTCAGCTGAAGAAGATTCCTTGTCATTACAATTCAGCCATTCTTACACTGCCTATACCGTCAAGGACAAGGTGATACCTAATGTTTATCTACTGGAACTGAAAAGGAAAACGGAAAGGAGAAAAATCACCTCTCAACCTGCTGGGACACTTTTTCTAAGGCAATCCAGGATGCTGTTGGCTTCTTTGCCACATGGGCATATTGGCTCATGGTCAGCTTGTTCTCCACCTGGACTCCCATATTCTCATCTGGAAAGCTGTTTTCCAGACTCTACTGGTGCACAGGTTATTCCTTCCCAGGTGAAGGACTTTGCATTTCCCTTTCTTCAACTTCCTGACAACCCCCCCGCCCATTTCTCCAACCTGTTCAGATCCTTTTGAATAGCAACACAACCATCTGGTTATCAACCATTCTTCCCCAGCTTTGTACCACTGCCAGTTTGCTCAGAGTGGGCTCTGTCAGTTCATCCAGGTAGTTAATGAAGGTGTTACAGTACCAGCCAGGGGTACTCCACTAATGACAAGCACCTTTCAGCCCAGCAGTTCTGCTGGTTTTCCATCCACTTCACTGCCCATTTATTTAGATTGTACTTCATCAGTTTGCCTATGAAGATGCTTTGGGAGACAGTGTAGAAAGCCATAGTAAGGCCAAAATAAACTACATCTGCTGCTCTCCCCTCATCCACCAAATTAGTCATCTAAAGCAAAAATTCCTGTCCCAAAGACACTTGCCATAACTTCCCATAAAAATCACAGAGACATCATTTTCTACAGATACTTTCTGAAGAAGTATCTGTGGACATTAAGTGGGAAAAACTGTTGTATATACAATAAACCCAACTTGTCTACTGAATCCATTATTACTGTTCAGTAGCATTAAGAATTTTACTTTGCATACCAGTCTGTCTGGTGTCTGATTTTAGACACCAAAACTCAATTGGCCACTAAAAGAGAAGGACTCAGTGGAAATAATGGGATTGTTGCACATCATAATTATCCTGATCAGCTGCTGAAAGTTATTCTACAGGCTTTATCCTCTTCTTCTCTTGCAAATTGTCTAATAAATTAATGATCAAATTGAACTCAGTAACTATTCTCAAGTTGTATCAGCCTTCAAAGTAAACCTGTGTAAGTCCTAAAAAACGGACCTGCGTTTTGCAAAATTGTCTTTTTTTCCCCCCAAGCTGTATCAGTTGACCTAATAAAAAATTGGTCCTGTCTGATGCTCATTTCATTTATAGCCTTAGATTGACATGATTTAAAAAGTCATTGCTATGGCTTTCTTTACTTGCCACCAGGGGGAGGACTCCGCATTTTCATCTCGGATAGGATTCAACAAATCATCATTAAAAAACCAATCTCTAGTGCACAATAGCACAATAGCAGGCTGGACCTCTGCGATTTTCCATGCACAGCTTTGCAGCAGCTCTGCCCCTGTCTTATCTCTGCAGTGAAATTACAGCCCATGTACATCAATTGTCCCTTTCTTTGCAAAACACTCTGATGTCAGAAGCAACATGACCTCAAAGTAATTTTTAAGAAGTTCTTAACCTAGAGACAGATGTGAGCACTGTGCTTCATCCTTTACATTTAAGACCAACCTGATTCAAAATTACTCTCCTTCATGTCTTCTCTCACCCAATTCCTCTCCTTCAGCACTTTATGCCTTCCAGACTTGCTACTTTGGAAGGAAAAAAAATTCTGTGACCCTTTTTCCTTTGTTATTTGGCTACCTCCTTTCTCACTAATCCTCTCTACCCTCTGTATGTTCAGCCATGGTGAGCAGGCACAGCTTCCCCACCCTCCCTTTGACTTGCTCTTTCCTAGACTTTGCTTTTGTCCTCTGTAGCAAGATGGAGCTTGGCACTTGCTGGTCTGGTCAGTGTTTAGCTGGGGTCTCAGCAGAACGTGACATATGTGCTGCCACACATGGTTGCTAGGGACAGCTAGTTAAACTCCTGTAAAAGCTGTTTCACATCTCTGGATTGCAGGGTGAACTTAATCTGTTACTTAAATATTTTTGTCTTTCCTACCTGCCAGCTTTGTACCTGGACATTTTAGTTGCTCACTCGTACTGCAGATTCTTTAAATTATTCTTCTTTTTCACCTAGATCAGGTTGGCATTTTCTTCTGTGCAGAGGCATCCATCCAGCAGTTGTTTTATACATGTTGAGTGACTTTATGGACACAAGCAAGTCCACAGGGCTTAGAGGACCTGCTTGCAGGTTAGTGTTTGCTGTAGTTGTGTTCAATTATACACTGCAGCAGCTCAGCACTGCACAAGTAACTAAGGCTTCAGATTAGTTTGTCCCCATCAGCTTTGCTTCATTTGCTGCCCATCTGTGTGTGACTTGCAATAAACCTTCATACTTACATAACTTCTTCAGATGCATCCTAGAAATCCCCATGGATTCTCAGCTTCTCCTCCTTCTGTGAGGTGACAACAAAACCCAAAGACACTTCAAAATTCTTAGTACGGACCCAGGGAACTGCCAAGCCAAATCAATCTCATGTAAACAAACATGCTGTCAGTTCCCTTTTTCCCAGAAACAACCCACAGAGGAAAAAAACCCAAAGTTAATTAGGGAGTGCCTGGATTGCAGCTGGCCATCTGGCTGCCTGGGAGCAGAGGTTGCTTTTGCACCTGAGGCTGAACAGGCTCTAAGGAAGAGACTCAAGAAACCTTTCCTTTGCCATGTTTAGCAGCAGGGAACAAAAGTACAACAACCAAGAATGCCAGCATGTCCAGAGTGTCCTGTCTGTCATCCTGGCATGCTGAGTTTAGGGATCATCTATTTCAAATGCACTTTTGTCCCTGTGGCTGTCTGCCTGCCATCGTATCCAGCCTGTATCCAACTGCTAATGAGCTTCATTCACTGTCCTCACTTAGAGCTTGTGTAATGAATAGCTCTGAATTGAAGTATTATTAAACCTCTATGAATACAAGGTCATATATCCTTGGAGGTGATGAAACTTCTCTTGGCTTTTGCAAGAGGATTTGCATTTGCATTATGCTGTGGTATTTCTTTGCAGTTGACCTGGTGTTACGCCTGATGGGGTTTGCCCAACCAGGAAAACCACTTCAGGGCTGTTCCTTGACAACTGTGCAATAGGTGGATCAAAACCTGAGACCTAAGGATGGAGATTCAGAAAACACTAATGGTGGAATTACACTGAGCAGAGCTCTATCCAGAGTGTGGGATGAAAAGGGGAACTTCACTGCGAATCCATGCTCGTTTCAAAGACAGCAAAGCCAAAGATGAAGTTTCTCTAAATGGTTGCATCCCCCTTCCAGACAGCTGTGTAAGTTGTCTTTGGCACTGACTGGATAGGGGAGGTTGCTGCCTGGAAGGAACCAGGAAACAATTAATGAAGGTTTGTCAAAATGGTGAAAGTCACTTTGTCTCAAAACTATTTGGCATATTAACTCATTCCCGCTTTCCTCCTTGAAGAAACAAGTGCTGATTTGTTAAGCAGTTAGTCAAATAAACTCAGTTTGCTTTTCCTTTCAAAGTTTGTCCAGAGTAAGGAGTGGCTGTGCACAGTTCCCAGGCCTGCCATTGTCCCAAGAGCACCACTCCTGCCAGGGCTGGTGATTCACTCCTGCAGCGCCAGCCCGGTGCCACCACGTCAGCAGAGGAGGAGGAATCTCCACTGACAACTCCCAGCCAGCTCCTGTGACCTGTCACAGGCACTGGGGACAGGGCCTGAGTGATCCTCTCTAGGCTGTGAAAAATGTCATGACACAATGGCTAAATCTGCAGAAGGTTCCTTTGATTAGGGATGAAGACAAGATAGATGCCCCAAACTTCTCTATTCATAATTATGTTGGAAGCAGAAACTGGCTGACCTGTGCTTACAGCATTCCAGGTTCAGACTCAGACCAGTAGAAGAGGCAGTTACACACCATCCTGGGCTGGCAGTCATCCCAGGACAGGGCACAGTGGCCCATCAGGTAAAGGGCAGGGAGCAGGCAGGGTATGTTCTGGGCATGGAATCACCGAGTGGGTGGTTGCTGTTCCTGTGTTCTGCATTCCTGTGACCAACACAGCTGTCTTCTCCTCCATTTCACAAGTCCCTGCTGTGATGTGGGGGATAAAGGGGAGACAACTTCCTAGAGTTTCCCCTTTCTCCCATTGCTGCCACTCCAAGTCAGGGCAAGGGAGAGAAGCCCATAGAAGCAGAGAGAGGAGCTTGGGCAGAGCTGAAGGGGCAGAACAGTCTGGACTGAGTTTGGCTAAGGCTGTAGCAACTGGCTGATTAGACATAATTTGCTGGTCTACATTCATTTTTTGGCCATTTTGCACGTGCACAGCATAGTGTAGGTAGACATGCTGCAGAAATATTAATTGATAAGAACTGCAGATATTCCCCCTGCTTTCTGAGTGTGCTTCAGGTCACAACACAACATCCTGTGCATGAAAGAAGCTGCGTTGGCAGCACAGTGAAATTTGGATGTCACTTTATTGTGCTATTTCTGATATTATGAACAATGTTCAAAATGCCATTTGTAAGGATTTTGGTACATTAGCCCTGTTAAAGAGAATGGAATTTGCACACATCCTGGGGACACAGCATGGGCTATACGTGTTTTTTATTCCACACTGAGGCAAAGAAGCACCTGGGTGAGTGCTATTTGAAAAAGGAGGATTTTGTTTTCTCCTGGAGGTTGGCATGTTTTTATCTGGCTTCCCTTGATAACAGCTGGTAGTGAGCTGAAACCACCACTCCGTGTGCAAACTGTGGGATCCCAAACTTCAGGATACAGTTTTGTTTATGTATGTCCAATGCTTATAATGAGCTTAGGCAATGAATCTGTTAGACACAGGGTCATTACTGTTATTACTTCTTACAGCATTACACACAGCAGACCTTCATCCTTGATTTAAGTGTTTTGGTGC